TCCATATTAATAATCTAATCCAATTAATATAGTCTGTCTGTCTGTCTGTCTGTCTGTCTGTCTGTCTCTCTCTCCAACGGGGCTCCCATCCTAGTCCAGGTCTTAGGAGAATAGATTTTGTTTTCACTCAAACCCAGAACTACTAAACTGTTTGTTTAGTTGCAGTTCGTCCAAGTTGCAGCTGGTCTATAATGATCCAAGAGACAGGGGGGTTGTTTGTGGTCTGACACAAAACACATTACCTGTTTCGTGCACAATCCTAGTGGAACCCATCTTGTTTTGTTATGCTGGGTGTGGGGTCTATTCTCAAAATGGGAATGATTTCCCTGCCACTTCGTGCTGCCTTGTTTTGCAGTTTTTAATTTCTTTGCTGTTGGTTTTAAATTAATTTTTAATTGCATGTTGTTATGTTTCATAATTTATCTGTTAACTGCCCGAGGCTGGCTTTTCTGTGATGGATGTTGTGATGCAAATATTTGAATAAATAACAATTTCCCTTAAAGTTTCCCATGAAGTCTGGAAATTCTCAGTGTTGCAGACCTACTACATATGGATGGTCTGAGAAAAAGGAGGATTGATTCAGTTCTTAATTCCAGATGTTTAAGGACTAGTTTTGCTTACTTAGGCTGTAATCCTCTATCCCTTAACAGACTACAGTATATCTCACTTTGCACATTCTCTCTGTACTTTGATTGTGCCTAAATAATAAGTCACAGTTGGCTATGCTCATACATATTCCATAAGCCATGATTTACAAATCACAAGGATTGGATTTACATAGCACATTAAGTCAAATCCAAACAACTACATTAGGGTTTAGCTTAATGTGGAGATAGCTCCAGAAAAATAAAATCTAAAGCCCTGCTCATGTTGAGTTTGACTCTTGGTGATTACAAGGACATATCCATGCAGTTTTTTCTTGCTAACAATATCAAAATAGTTTGCCACTTTCCAGGGTGATTTTAATATCTTGCCTACCTCTTGAGAATTGCCTGGTTGTCTCCCATCCAAATGCTAAACAGTTCTGATTCTACTTAGCTTTTTCAATAACATCCTTGGTTGAATAAAGGCTGCTACCTGCTCTGACAAGAACATGTAGCCTTATAAGTGCTGTTTACTGAAACTGTTCTACTCTAGACAGCTTCTTATTCTGTATGTCATTCCAGCATTGATGCCCCATTCATGATAATAGTGGAGACTGCTCACTTTACAGCCATTTAGATCCTGAAATCCTCCAATGCTAAGCCAGGCTGGGATAAAACCTGAAGGATTCAAGGAATCCTGGAAGACTTTAAGACTGTGGAGTTCTTGATGTCCTCTGAGCTTGGTTCTTTGCTTGCAGACGTTTCATTACCCAACTAGGTAACATCATCAGGGCTAGTGAGTGTGGGGTTTTCTCCCTGTTGATATACGGTAGCTTGCTCTCCAGTGTCGGTGGAGATGTGGTTTTCTCCTTGGGGATGTGGTTTTCTCCTTGGTGGTTCCTTGATTAGACTACTGTATTGTTTTGGAAACCCCATACTCACTTGTCCTGATGATGTTACCTAGCTGGGTAATGAAATGTCTGCAAGCCAACAACCAACCTCAGAGCACACCAAGAACTCCACAGTTCAACCCTGAGCTACAGATATTCACTTCTATTGGACTCTAACACTGGATGGGCTTCAAAATGTAACAGGCAGTGTGGTCTAGTGGTTAAGGTGCAAGGAGACCTGCGTTCTAGTCCATGCACAACCAGGAAAGCTCACTGGGTGACTTTGGGCCCGTAACTCTCCCTCAGGCCAACCTACCTCAGAGGGTAGTTGCAAGAAAAAATAGGAGGAAGTGCTTATATACTCTGCTTTCAGCTCCTGAGTGAAAGGTGGGCTATAAATCCAATAATTGCAGTTCACTATTAATAAGAACCAAGTGATATATTAGTAACCAATCCAAACTTATTAAGGCTAAGCAAAAAATACATATACAACTTTGTGTGTAAATTCACAGCCACTGCTCTCCAGAATAAACTGCCTATTTTGAACTGACCATCTCAATTTTGTAGCTGTGTTGCAGCCTGTGGAATTCACATTAACTTGAAATGACCCTGGTGATCAAGACACGTAATTCTTTCCTTGGGTCAGTTCTCCAGCTCAGCCCCAGTGATAAAATGTTTGAATTCTGACTTAGCTTCAAAATTGTATTAGTGAATGCTTCAGTGGTAAAACTATTCATGTTCTGGCAGGAAGTTGCTAGACCAGTGTTTCTCAACCTTAGTGACTTGGAGATGTGTGGACTTCAACTCTCAGAATTCCCCAGCTGGAAGTTGAAGTCCACTCATCTTAAATTGCTGAGGTTGAGAAACACTGCTCTATTAAGTTCAGAAGTTACAAGGCTTTGTAGTTCTTCTCAAGCTTGTGTTTATTTAGTTGTTGTTGTTGTTATTTACACATCATCTACTGGATCGTTCTACCTAGATTTGGTAAGTTGGTACTTTTGACTATTGGATCCTTCCCAAGGATCTAGGATAGCTAAAGGTATCATTACTGTTGTCATTCTGTACCCAACTGGTTTTCAGAAGTAGACCTAGAAAAATAAGATAATGTTACATTTAAAAAAGTAGTTAAACTGCATAAAATAATGCAATGCAAACAGCAGCAGAGAACAAAATAGCATAATACTTTGGAAGCTGATCTTTTGCTTACAATTTAGTATTGAATATATCCAAGGCCTGTACTAGGGTACAGCTCCCTTGCGAAGAATTTTTTAAAACAAATATTCCTAGTTTGTTAAAAAATATTATAGTTTGCAACATAATCCCTAGGATTCCAGGATGAGGGTTTTAGCCTTGGTAAGAATCTTGCTTTCTAGGCCTGAAGTTCTGATCCTTTGCTCACAATCTTTTTATGCATTTCCAGGTTTGTTGATGTTGTATGTAAGCAGTGGGAGGAATGAAGACCCTGAACTGGTTTGTCTTTGGATTCATAGCTGTGTCTCTCCAACTGAGTGATCGCGTGTGGGGTCAAGGTAAATATGGAAACCATCTTGTGAGGTCTGTCTGATGTGCAGAAGTGGATTCCCAATTTTTTAGAAACAATTTGCTGTCTCCCTTGAAAGTTTATTCAGAACCATCTTTCCGATGGTTAATCTGAGATAGGTCTCAGGTCACAAGATTTTGTGTAGACCACCTAGGAGGTCATGTGGATCTTCCTGGCATGGAATAGACTTGGATTATCTATACAGCGACCGTATGTCCGTTATTATAAAGGACAGTCCTTTATTTCAGAAAGCTGTCCTTTAGATTTATTTATTTTACAAAAAATGTCAACGTTTGTGCTTTATTATGGTCATTTAATTTTTACCGTACAAATGGTACCACTTAATGCACGGTTTTTCACATTCATATGAAAAATATGGAAATTGAATTGTCTTTTTAAAATAAATTTATATATACTGTTTGATTTTAGATAATTTTATTAGAATATGTGCTTTTGTAAAGTTTTTTTAGTTTTGCTCTTGAATTTTCCTTTGTAAAGCAAAGTTATAAACATAAACAATATTTTTTTTTATCCGTATGAACCTCTTTCAGATATGCCTCTTTTTCAGGTTTGGCCTTTATTTTTTCCAAGAAAATATGGTCATCGTAATTAAATACTACTTTCTCTCTCTACTGTGTCATGCATTACCATACATGTTATTTTTCCAATTTCATTAAAGAGGGCAGAATGTTTGCAACTTTTGCTGTTTTAACCAATCAGCTCAGTATTCAGGGACATCTGCATGGCGGTGGTGGTCAAAAAAATCAAAATGGCACCGTGACCATGCAATCCAGGTTCTATCCCTTTTAACACACATAAAAAGGAGTGTCGCTTCAGTCACATGGTCATGGCTGCCATGTTGACTTTTTTGACCCCTACTTACGAACACTCCTGCCAGTATTCTTGCAGTGCCTGTTTTCTATCCTCTGCATTCAATAATTGATTTTTCTTTTTCTTTGGGTGGGATCTATAACAGATAGTAGCATGTTTTGAACAGCTTGATTCTATGGTAAGATGTGGGAGGTTTCATGGAGCTCCATTCAAAGAAAGACTGCATATATGTGGTGTACCAGCTGTTGAAGATATCCTGTTTGATTGCAAACTATATTCTGCCAAAAGGGCTGTTTACTTAGATCCTTACGTAAATACTAAGGAATGTTAGGAGACCCAAGTTAAAGTATTATACTTTTTGCTCTCCTATTACTAGGAAAACTGCCATTTTCATATCAAAGACCAGTCTGAAGAGGATAGACTTAAACAGGTTGGGGTTGACTACAAGGGTGACGATTTATTATGAATATGCCCTACTGTTTTTCTGCATTGCTTTTATAGCTTTTTGATAGGGTCAGATGAGTGATCAATAACATTGATTATATATGTAACAGCTAGTTTAACTTTTCAAATCATGTAATGCTGAATGTGTTTCCTCTGGTTGTGTGTACATTTTAAAGAAATGAAACAGGGCTCCGTTTCAGATAAAATGCTGAACTAGGATTTAGCATGATACATATCAATCTGAGTCATGCTTGTACATTTGCTTTTCCCTTTCTAGTCCTGTGTGGCTGGAAGACTTGTTTGGGAGAAGGACCTAACTAGGACTACTTAAATTTATACTGACTTTTTATACTGTCCTCCTGACTCACCCAACGCATTAAGCTGTAAAGTCATTGGGGTTTTTATTATGTTGGGTCAGCCTAGTCTTCATCAGTTGCAGGGGTGTCTGCAGAGTGTGATCAACAAAGTTAAGATGGTGGCCACAATGGTGTGATTGAAGCTTTTATTTTTTCATGTGTGTGTCACCCCTAAAAATTAATGTCTTTTAAAGAGACCTTAAATTGTAGGGAGACACCTCCACTAATCTCCAACCACAATTACAGACCTATAGCAGAAAGAAGACATTTATATTTATTTTAATGTAGAGGAGTATGGAGGCAGCCATGAAGAAGAAATGCAAGCACTTTTAAGTAAATATCAGCTTACTTCCTTGGGAAGGAAGAGGGAGTGAGAAAGAAACTCAAGATAACCATGCCTTGATCTTGTTTGGTATAAGAGATAGCAGAGGAACACTCTGACTGGCTTTCAAGATTCTGTTATTATACCATACAACAATGAAGTAGAGTTTTGGTGGTCCTTGAGATCCCTGACTCCTGAATTGGCCTACTTGAAGAAATGAGATTTAAAAATAGATATCCTGCATCTGCAAACCAGTTAAATTATCTTTGTTTATGTGTTTTAAAAGGTTTTATATCCTGCCCTCGTTTATGGTATAAAGTAGCTTTATCTAATCGAGTACCTTCCCAATATGTTGGGTTCTAACTTGGTCACACTTACTGAGCCCCCAGTTTGGGGAAGACTGGAATACCTACTTTTTCTCTTAGGTGTATACTTATGTAATGTTTACTATAAAAGTATATAACAGAATAGAATGTATATAGTTGCTTCGTAGAAAGCCAGTTTGGTGCAGTGGTTAAAGCATCAGGCTAGAAACCAGGAGACTGTGAGTTCTTGTTTTGCCTTAGGCATGAAGCCACCTGGGTGACCTTGGGCCAGTCACTTTCTCTCAGCCCTAGGAAGGAGGCAATGGCAAACCACTTTTGAAATCTTGCCAAGAAAACTGCAGGACTAGTCCAGGCAATTGCCAGAAGTCAACACTGACTTGAAGGCACCAACCCCCCCCCCCTTTTTTTGCTTTTGTAGGAAAAAACGTTTTCCTACATTGTTTTCTTCAGCTTAGTTTAGGTATGCAGAGTGCCTCAGTATGTTGACATAAAATTAAGCCCATTTCAAATCAGTGGACTTATTTCCAGAACAATATCTGTAGAAGTGAAGCTTCCTTAGCAGATATGTATCTGTTCAAAGCTTTTTGCGTTCTGATAGCAGATGGAAAAGATTACTTTAAAAATCTTCATGATATGAGTAGCAAGAATGAGATTTTGCATTTATTCCATATTTTAAACAAGTTAAAGTAAATTGTTCTTTTAAAGCAAAACTGGACCCAATTTGTAAATATTATGAGTGTTGTGATTCAAGCATTGAATTTTTCAGACCATCTTCCTTGTGGTTTGAAAAGTTCTTCCATATGTTTCTAGAGAATCTGTGCCAGTACTGAAAATTAGTCAATTTTGAGATGATCTGTGTATGCCAAAGCCTTGAATTTGTTTTTAGCCTCATTTTAGATTAATGCTCTAATGTTACTTCTGGCCATTAATCAGCATCTTTAAGAAGCCACAGTGTTACATGTGTTATGATGTCGTTGTATAAATGTTTGATCATTAGATCAGTCAAGCTAATTTGATTGATTTTTAGATTGATTCTTCTTTTTTTCTTTTTGAAAGAAATGGGAAGCGATAAAGGTGTCCCATAGAACTAAAGACTCCCTTCCAGTTAATGACTCAGAAGTCATCTGAATCAACATCTTGTTGAGTTTGTCCAAAAGTTAGATTTTAAAAAAAGATCCTTTACTTGCATGTACTTTCTTGTGCAAGAACACAACCTTTTCATAACTACCTTCAAGTACATCCTTTAAAGAACAATTTTGGCTCATATGTAATTGTTATTGGCCTGGAAATTTTTGGTGTTGCTTTTCTTTGACCTCTCTGTTTTTAATCAAACCAGAGAATTTTCAGTAAAGATCTTCTACTCCTGTAATCTTCTACCCCTGTAAAGTCTTTCTCTGCAGTTTGTCTAGGCTATTGTGTTGTAAGCTGTGTGTTCAGGACTGCGTTAGCAAATGTGTCTTCTTTTTCTGTCTCGCTCATATGAGAAATTGTTTAAGGATTCTGGAAAGGTACTTTCTGTGGTGTTGGCTACTTACCAGTAAAGTTACAGCTCTGTTCTTTGCTGGCCATATCTGTAGAAGATCCAGACTGAATCTTCAGTATCTGCAGTTATAAAGATGTGAGGTAACTTCAGACAATCTTTAGGTGGTAGAAGAGAGATACAGAACATGCTGACTCTTTGTTGTCATCTAGATTTTGCAGCGCATATCTGGTAGCTATAAGATAAAAGGATTTAAAAGGTCCTGAGATCCTGCTAAGGTGTTGCCAATCATAGCAGAAAACTGCAATAGGATAGAGAAGCTAATGCTCTGTATCTGCTCTGTGTCAGCCGAGGCAATCACAAATTATCCTTTCCCAGAAAGAGGACATTATCTATGTCCAACCAATTCCTACATCCACTCAATTTGTGAAAATGAAATAACTTCAACCCTGCACATGCAAAGTTTCATAATTCAGCTCCAGCAAGTTTTTCTACCTCTTCAATTCCAGCACTGTTTTTCCTTGTAATATCAGCTGAGAAATATTATAACTTTTACAGTCTATGCCATGTCACGACTTCCTTCCTTATAGGAGAAGGAAAAACTTGATCTCTCTATTAACTTGTTCTTGGCTTAAAGATTTCTTTAAATCAGTGTTGCCAAACTTTTGCCATGCAGATATGTTGGGATAAATGACCATAATATTCAGTCAAGACAGCAGTGGCCTTGTTAAATAGGAATTGTGAGAGTTGTAATCTCTCTGTTTTAGAAGCCATCAGGTTTGGGAACACTAATTTAAAATAGGCCCCCACCTATAAAATCATAGCCTCTTCTTAAAACCCTCCAGAGACAATGAACCTCTAGCCTCCATACGTGTGGTCCCATTAATGCAGAGTAGAGGAGGATAAGAACTTCACATGTCTTCTTCTGATGCAGGCTGGCACTGTACACTATTAGCTCTTCTAACAGCTGATTCACACTGCTGGCTCATATTCAGCTTGTTGTCAATGACCTCACCCAAAACCTTTTCCAACATAGTGCTTCCAAGCCATTAATCTCCCATCTTGTATGTTTGCCCAATAGTTTTCCTCCCTGACTGTAATACTGTACATTTCTCTATGCTGAAGGATGTCTTGTTCTTCTCAGCCTCATCTTCCTACCTATCTCAATTACATTGCTATCTCGTTCTGCTTCCTGGGTGTTAACCAGACCTCATGTCATCGGCAAATTTGATAAGCAACCCATCGATCTCAAGGAGCAAGAAAATTAAAGAGTAAATAATAAATGTATCTTTGTAAATTTGCTATTTATGGTTACATATATAGTTTATTCCAGTTTATCTTTCTTCTACGAGTCTTGAAGATCAGATTTACAATTTCAGACACCCTAATCCTACAAAATACCAAGAACCAACACTTCTAATTTTCAATAGCATTTTTTACACATCACTTTAATTTCATAAGCATACCCGTATAATGTCATAGTTTCAAAGAACTGTGGTGAGTCTTTTGTGAATATATGTGTGTGCATGAATTTTCCTGGCAATCTATGATTGTCTGTCTGCTGGGCATTAAAGGAGGTTTGTAAGCCTGAACCAGATAAAAATACAAACTTGGATATAATCGGAGAGAATTAAATCTCATTGGTATGAACTGTGGGAATTCATTTTGACAAATACTTCTAAAGTCATACTGTTGAATGTTACTGCAATAGCTACAGATCTCCCTCCCAAATCAGATTCAAATCTTTGAGGATAGCTGTCTACAGGTCATGTTTGTTACAAGCCAGGCCATCTGAGTTGTAAGACCAGATATCATCAATCTGCTTTCCTTGAATTCATACAATTTTAATATAGATAAATAATTCTGCTGTTATTCATATATATGTATGGATAAACATAATACTTATATATTTTGGCTCTTTTCATTTTGAGAATGTTTACTGGCTTTTGTTGCTTATAAAGAATTAAGACTGAGTTGTTTCCCACTCTGCCCAGCTGATTCAAGCATGCAAAAATACTGTGTGGTGCAACCTTCTTGCATTTAAATAGAAGTAAAACAAATTTCCCTGCATGCTAAAAGTTAGGAGGTAAAGAAGGATTTCAGTCTTGATATTTCTCTAATGTGCTAGTTATTCACAAGCACAGATACTCTTTTAAAAGAGAAAATCTTTCAAGCATAGAACTTATAAATATATGACATTTATAAAATCCAGTAACTATTTTTTCATGTTCTAATTCAGAAGGTTGAAGGGTAAAATAGGGTGCAGACATTGAATAGCACTTTCAGTTTTTCATGATAACGCTGTGAATAGCTGACCTGCTGGATCACGAGATAGGATTCTTTCCAGCTGTATCACTCACACCACAGTTAGGGAATTTTGTTTGAATAAACCTTCTTAGACAAAATAGTATATCTAGGTAGAAGCAATTCAAATGTTATTTTCTCTACCTGCATTTTGAAGTGGTAGAATCCAGAAATGGTATATTGTGTAGTCGTGTGAGTTATGTAGTTTGACCGTTACTGATATCCAATCTAATGATCTGTTTTTCTGTAAGTATCTGTTCTCTGCCACTCCTTTTAATAAACTTGCATCGCTTGTCTGTGCTCGCCTGAATATACATAAATTACTGTTATGTATATTAAATTCCTTTCATGATCATGTATATTCCACGGAACAGTCACTCATTTCCCTAAATCTGCGAAAAAGTCAATTTTAGAATAAGGCTGAAGTCTATTGGAGATTAAACTACTAGCTTGACATTAAATCTATTAGCTTGATATTAAAATTATGGCATTTATGTGAGGGTCCTTTGCTGGGGGAGAAGATGAAATAGGCCGACTCAATCTCAATATTAAAGGCACAGCTAGATGGCCATATGAATGTCTCAGCCAGATCTTGAGTTGGTAAAAAAATATGCCAGCATACGCTGCAGGTCTTCATTGCCAGTTCCTGTTCTGCAAGGGGTTATAGTGTTAATGTTGGACACATTAAGGGAAGCAGTTGATGGATTATCTGCCTTTGTTTCCTCTCCCACCTGCTGGCAGACTATCAGCTGCTGGCAGGATAAAGAACCACTAGTTGTTCTTCATAGGGTATGGTGGGGTGGAGTTGGAGAAGTGTAGGCAGGGGCCTCAGACAAAGCATTTAGACCCCTTTTAAATTGGCCACATGATAGGTCACTGATACAGAGATACTCCATGTCTATCACCTGTTATCTTGACTATTTCTGAACGTCAGTTTAGTCCTTTTTGAACTATGTTCAGAAATAGCCTGATTGATAGGTCACAAGTCCAAAGGAGGAATTGATTTGTCAGTTGAGTTATTTCTGAACATGATTATAGTGCTCTTTGGAAAGATATCTGTAATCTAGGGATGAGATGAAGACAACATCATGAGGATGTGTCTTATATAAACAGATATTGGGCACCTTCATGCTGCAGTTAGAGGGATATGTGCATAAGCCCACAGCTAGTGGGTCATGCCTATAAATTCTATGAAGTTGCTGGAATGTTCTAGCATAGACAAGGGAATGCCAGATTGTGGCATTATGTGAAGCTTTTGCAATTCATAAACTGTTTAAGTGCATCGCTCATTAACTATGCTTTCTCCTACAATATGGAGAACCCATATTATGCTCTTCCAAGCAGCACAGACTCAGTTCTGCTGGCAGATCCTTCCTTAAGTTGCATGACTAGAATGGAAGGAGACCGGAAAAATCTTGAGGTCCCTTGCCGAGTTTGGTTTGAAGGGGGCAGGGAATGGAAAAACACTTGGAGGCTTTGTGAGTTTAAGAAGGGGACAGTGATGAATGGAAAAAAAAGACAGCTCGTATGGAATCCACTGTATACAGTAGGCTTCTTTTGCTTCTTATCTGAGCCTAAGGCATACCAATACAATTTGTAACATGCCATTGCCTCAAACTAAGTTCAGATCCCGGTCTGATTGTTTTGGTGCTGGACAGGTAATGGAAATAGATTTTTACAAAATAACCTGGGCTATTGCCTTTGAAATGACGAGTTATAAACGATACAGTTTGGATAAAGTCTTCTGCAGATGTGCTGATCTTTGGCAAATTGTAGAAAGGTGTATTGTGTTTATTGTGAACTTCTCAAAATACTTTGTATGTACTCATACTCAGCATTATATGTGCAGGCGTACACGTGGTCAGGGAATGCTGAACAGTAGAGGTACATGGGTCTATACTTTTGAGGATCCATTAGCAGGAAACCATGATCGTTGGACAGATTTATGATTCTTTTGTTGATAATATTTATCTTCTGCTTTTCAAAGCAAGAGATCCACCATCTCAGATCTGGTACTCTCCAGATGTGTAGGATTAAAATTTCCACCTCTCCCAGTCAGCATAGCATGACTATGGTTGCTGAAAATGATCAAACTATAATCCAACCTATCTGGAGGGCAAAGAAGATTAGCTTAGTTCTGTCCTAAGTGACATTTGACTTTTAGGCTAGGGAATATCTAACAATCTTAATTGCTTGTAACTGCAGATATTCAAGCCAAAGAGCTCCTTTCATATTATTAATTTAATACATTCACAGCAACATCACTCTCTTTTGAAAATTGTGATATTTCCTGCAAGCCCCCTGAAACATGCAATATACATACTTCATGCCCATAGGCATGTCTGGAAATATGATCATAAATCATCTCTACCTTCCTCCTCACAAGAAACCTAAAAAATTAGAATAGCCTATTAAGGTTACTCCTGCCCACATATCTAACAAAGACATTCTATGAGAAAAAAAGCATGTGGGTTATCTTGCTTTTAACCTCTAACTTCCCTGTTCCTTTGTGGCTCCTTGTTAATTTGTTGTGTAGAGTTTGTTTTGGGGAAGCAATCGTGCATTTTGGCAGAGGTGTATATATCATTTTACAAACTAGGAGTTCATATCATGTGATTCTTCTGATAACCAGCATCCTTTGCTTTGTCTGAAAAGTGTATTATGTCATGAATTTGAATGCCTGTATGTTGTGCATTTTTTAATGAAATGTGATAAACCGTATTAATATTACAGTGCTTTTTTTTCTTTTAATTTCCCTTTCAGTGGCTCCACCATCAAGATTAAGATATACGGTTATTGGTCCTGACAGTATTCAGATTTCATGGAAAGCCCCTAAAGGGAAGTTTGATGGATATAAACTTCTCATCACTCCTAGTTCAGGTAAGGAGAGGTGGGGAAGGAATTATTCCACCTGAATTCCAAAGTTCACACCTGGCCTAAGTTCATACCTGAAGGAGGAGACAAAACAGCACACCACATTGCATTAGACCTACATAAGCTGAGTATATTGGCTATTGAAACTTAATAGGGATTGGATTGCACCCAACTTGTAGCCTGGGGGTAACAGGATAGCTTTTAGGAGAAGTCTTTTGGCCCTCCCAAAGTCCCTTTGAAGCTGACAAGGTCTACCTATTATTTTTGTGAAAACAGCACTCTGTTTTTCCAGTTTTACTCAGATCCTCTGCTTATGCTGGGGCAACTTAAGCTTAAAGAGCAGTATGTAACTGTTCACCGAGGAGGACTGATCAGTTTTACAATAACTCTCAAAGTGAACACTCAGCAGAGTGCTGAATACTATTAACGGCATACTTCCAGTGTGACATGATGGTCTTCCTTAGTTGTTTTTTTTTAACTTGTTAACCTTGGTAGGTCTCCAAAAGCTAAGCAGGGGTCAGACCTGATTAGTAGTTGGGTGGATCACTAGAAAACCCCAGGGCTGCAGGTTAGACTGAAAGCTGGAGAAGCTTCCTGAAGGTAAAGGCAGATCATTTCTGTATTGTTGCTAAGAAAAGTGCTCAGGTGTGTTCATGATGTCCCCAGAGTTGAGCTCAACGTGAAGAAGAATTTACCTATACCTTTATAATTTATGTGTTGCTTGAGTTAATTCTCAAGAGAAAAATAGCAATTCATATTTATGTGGCACATGAGTTTGTAGTGGAAATGATGTGTCTGCTATCCTAGCTTACTCCCATGCCAGCCACGCATGCAATGTTCAAGTAGTAGTAGTACACTTTATTGATTAGTCATTTGACCATATCAGCAATGTTCAAGTAAATTAGAGGACGATTCTCTGAGCTCCATGGCTGCTTGCTGCTCCCCTGGCACAGCTGGAGTGCAGCCTTCAGAACCCCACTAAAACTTATTGCTGAGCTGTTATTCTGAAAGTGACAGGAGAAAGTTATGAAAAGCATGGGTAATATAAGTATAATAACAAATGCCTTTAATTATTCCCCTAGCTAGTTTATCTGAGCCTTACCCAGTTTCAGAAGAATAGCTCTCAGAATATCAATCAGAGGGAACTTGATGCAGAGAGAAACATTTTTTTGCTCCTCTCCTTGTCTCCTCTTACTGACAATGAACAAGTTAGTTTTCCACCAGTTTGGGAAAGGAAATGCACAGAATTGTCATGGAACAAGAAGAGTTTTTTCCTCATCGATTGTATCATTGAACTAGACAATCCTGTGACCTGTTGGGTCATCCTTTGAGAGAAAGGTAGTGCAGTCTGATGTAACCAGAATGAACATTAAAT